CTTCATATAATCCAGTTTCTCAGATTATTTGCTCAGCATACAGATTGAGTAAGTATGGTAAAAGAATGTAACGCTGGCACGCACCTTTCCTGATTTTTAAACCATCCAGTGTCTCCTTGTTCTGTCTGAATGATGCCATTTCTTCTTCTATGTATAGGTTCGTCGTGAGCACAATTAAATGCTCTGGAATATCCATTCTTCACAAGGTTATCATGTTCCACACAGTTGAAAGTATTTACATAGTAAAAAAAAGCACGAGTAAACATATTTCTGGCATTCTCTGATTCAGCCAAGATCCATCTGAAGTCAGCAATGATATCCTTTGTTCCACGTCCTCTTCTGAAGCTAGCTTGAATTTCTGGCAGTTCTCTGTTTATGTAGTGTTGCACACATTTTTTTAACTATCATCAGCAAAATTTTACTTGTGTGTGATAGTAATAATATTGTGTGATGATTTTTGCATTCTGTTGGGTCATCTGTCTTTGGAATGGGCACAGATATTAATCTTTTCCAATCAGTTGGCCAGGTAACCATCTTCCAAATTTCTTGGCAGAAATAAGTGAGTGCCTCTAGTGCTTCATCATCTTGCTGAAAGATTTCAATTTTTTTTTTTATAATTTATTTTATTTTGTTGTTGCTGTTGAGAATATACACAGCAAAACATACATCAACTCAACAGTTTTTATATGTACATCTCAGCGACTTTAATTGCATTCTTCAATTTGTGCACCATTCTCACTCTCCTTTCCTGAATTGTTCCGCCCCAATTAACATGAACTCCCTGTCCCCTAAAGTCCCCTAAAGGAGTATCTAATCTTTGGAGTTGCTATTGCCAATTTGGTCCTATATAGACAGTTCTTAAATGAGCATAATGGTCAAAGCAGATGTTCTTAACTAGGTAAGCTAAACTATTGCATAGTTTTAAGAAGATTTCAAGGGATATTTTTGGCTTAAGGCTTAAACATGATCTCATATCAATAGTTTCCAGGGTTCAAAAGGCTTAAACATGATCTTACTTCAGTTGTTTCAGGGGTTCAACCAGCCTACATGACTCCAGAAAACCTTGATTACATGAGAATTTGAAAGCATGTTCTGCATTTTCTACCTTTTGATCAGGATTCTTCTATAAAATGAGTTTTTAATTTGTTATTTCATCAATTCTCGGTGCCTTTTTTTCACCAATGCCTTCAGTGCAACTTGAACTCCTTCCTTCAGTACCATTGATTCTAAATCATGTGCTACCTCTTGAAATGACTGAGTATTGACCATTTCTTTTTTTTTTTTTTTTCCTTTTTTAATTTAAGGTTTTTATTGTGGATTGAGTGAAAGCTTACATGGCACATCATCAGTTTCACATTCAACAATTCATATACACTGTTTCATTACATTGATTATAATCCCCTCCATATACCATCAGTTAACAGTATTTCTCTCTATCCACTTT